TCCCTCGTGATACCCTGAACTCCATAAACTAAATTATTCTCAGATTTGAAGCCAAAATCTATGAAAAAAGGCACTCAGAAAAATTGAAAAATTGATAAATCACCACAATTGCTTAGCACGATTTTATCTCAGGAACTATAAGTGTCAATGAGCTGAAATTTTCAGGGATTGTAGTCCTTTGAAAAGGATAATTTTCAGTGAAAGATTCAGCTTTCTATCTATAATAGAAAAAAAGTTATGACTTTTCAAAATTTTCCAAAAAAATCATAAGGGGGGTACCTTCCTACTAAAACGATGAAATTTCAAATTTTTTTTTGTCGAGATTTTGTGTCCTAATGGTCCCTCGTGATACCCTGAACTCCATAAACTAAATTATTCTCAGATTTGAAGCCAAAATCTATGAAAAAAGGCACTCAGAAAAATTGAAAAATTGATAAATCACCACAATTGCTTAGCACGATTTTATCTCAGGAACTATAAGTGTCAATACGCTGAAATTTTCAGGGATTGTAGTCCTTTGAAAAGGATAATTTTCAGTGAAAGATTCAGCTTTCTATCTATAATAGAAAAAAAGTTATGACTTTTCAAAATTTTCCAAAAAAATCATAAGGGGGGTACCTTCCTACTAAAACGATGAAATTTCAAATTTTTTTTTGTCGAGATTTTGTGTCCTAATGGTCCCTCGTGATACCCTGAACTCCATAAACTAAATTATTCTCAGATTTGAAGCCAAAATCTATGAAAAAAGGCACTCAGAAAAATTGAAAAATTGATAAATCACCACAATTGCTTAGCACGATTTTATCTCAGGAACTATAAGTGTCAATACGCTGAAATTTTCAGGGATTGTAGTCCTTTGAAAAGGATAATTTTCAGTGAAAGATTCAGCTTTCTATCTATAATAGAAAAAAAGTTATGACTTTTCAAAATTTTCCAAAAAAATCATAAGGGGGGTACCTTCCTACTAAAACGATGAAATTTCAAATTTTTTTTTGTCGAGATTTTGTGTCCAAATGGTCCCTCGTGATACCCTGAACTCCATAAACTAAATTATTCTCAGATTTGAAGCCAAAATCTATGAAAAAAGGCACTCAGAAAAATTGAAAAATTGATAAATCACCACAATTGCTTAGCACGATTTTATCTCAGGAACTATAAGTGTCAATGAGCTGAAATTTTCAGGGATTGTAGTCCTTTGAAAAGGATAATTTTCAGTGAAAGATTCAGCTTTCTATCTATAATAGAAAAAAAGTTATGACTTTTCAAAATTTTCCAAAAAAATCATAAGGGGGGTACCTTCCTACTAAAACGATGAAATTTCAAATTTTTTTTTGTCGAGATTTTGTGTCCTTATATGGTCCCTCGTGATACCCTGAACTCCATAAACTAAATTATTCTCAGATTTGAAGCCAAAATCCATGAAAAATGCACTCAGAAAAATTGAAAAATTGATAAATCACCACAATTGCTTAGCACGATTTTATCTCAGGAACTATAAGTGTCAATGAGCTGAAATTTTCAGGGATTGTAGTCCTTTGAAAAGGATAATTTTCAGTGAAAGATTCAGCTTTCTATCTATAATAGAAAAAAAGTTATGACTTTTCAAAATTTTCCAAAAAAATCATAAGGGGGGTACCTTCCTACTAAAACGATGAAATTTCAAATTTTTTTTTGTCGAGATTTTGTGTCCTAATGGTCCCTCGTGATACCCTGAACTCCATAAACTAAATTATTCTCAGATTTGAAGCCAAAATCTATGAAAAAAGGCACTCAGAAAAATTGAAAAATTGATAAATCACCACAATTGCTTAGCACGATTTTATCTCAGGAACTATAAGTGTCAATGAGCTGAAATTTTCAGGGATTGTAGTCCTTTGAAAAGGATAATTTTCAGTGAAAGATTCAGCTTTCTATCTATAATAGAAAAAAAGTTATGACTTTTCAAAATTTTCCAAAAAAATCATAAGGGGGGTACCTTCCTACTAAAACGATGAAATTTCAAATTTTTTTTTGTCGAGATTTTGTGTCCTTATGGTCCCTCGTGATACCCTGAACTCCATAAACTAAATTATTCTCAGATTTGAAGCCAAAATCTATGAAAAAAGGCACTCAGAAAAATTGAAAAATTGATAAATCACCACAATTGCTTAGCACGATTTTATCTCAGGAACTATAAGTGTCAATGAGCTGAAATTTTCAGGGATTGTAGTCCTTTGAAAAGGATAATTTTCAGTGAAAGATTCAGCTTTCTATCTATAATAGAAAAAAAGTTATGACTTTTCAAAATTTTCCAAAAAAATCATAAGGGGGGTACCTTCCTACTAAAACGATGAAATTTCAAATTTTTTTTTGTCGAGATTTTGTGTCCTAATGGTCCTTCGTGATACCCTGAACTCCATAAACTAAATTATTCTCAGATTTGAAGCCAAAATCTATGAAAAAAGGCACTCAGAAAAATTGAAAAATTGATAAATCACCACAATTGCTTAGCACGATTTTATCTCAGGAACTATAAGTGTCAATGAGCTGAAATTTTCAGGGATTGTAGTCCTTTGAAAAGGATAATTTTCAGTGAAAGATTCAGCTTTCTATCTATAATAGAAAAAAAGTTATGACTTTTCAAAGTTTTCCAAAAAAATCATAAGGGGGGTACCTTCCTACTAAAACGATGAAATTTCAATTTTTTTTTTGTCGAGATTTTGTGTCCTAATGGTCCCTCGTGATACCCTGAACTCCATAAACTAAATTATTCTCAGATTTGAAGCCAAAATCTATGGAAAAAGGCACTCAGAAAAATTGAAAAATTGATAAATCACCACAAATGCTTAGCACGATTTTATCTCAGGAACTATAAGTGTCAATGAGCTGAAATTTTCAGGGATTGTAGTCCTTTGAAAAGGATAATTTTCAGTGAAAGATTCAGCTTTCTATCTATAATAGAAAAAAAGTTATGACTTTTCAAAGTTTTCCAAAAAAATCATAAGGGGGGTACCTTCCTACTAAAACGATGAAATTTCAAATTTTTTTTTGTCGAGATTTTGTGTCCTTATGGTCCCTCGTGATACCCTGAACTCCATAAACTAAATTATTCTCAGATTTGAAGCCAAAATCTATGGAAAAAGGCACTCAGAAAAATTGAAAAATTGATAAATCACCACAAATGCTTAGCACGATTTTATCTCAGGAACTATAAGTGTCAATGAGCTGAAATTTTCAGGGATTGTAGTCCTTTGAAAAGGATAATTTTCAGTGAAAGATTCAGCTTTCTATCTATAATAGAAAAAAAAGTTATGACTTTTCAAAGTTTTCCAAAAAAATCATAAGGGGGGTACCTTCCTACTAAAACGATGAAATTTCAAATTTTTTTTTGTCGAGATTTTGTGTCCTTATGGTCCCTCGTGATACCCTGAACTCCATAAACTAAATTATTCTCAGATTTGAAGCCAAAATCTATGAAAAAAGGCACTCAGAAAAATTGAAAAATTGATAAATCACCACAATTGCTTAGCACGATTTTATCTCAGGAACTATAGGTGTCAATGAGCTGAAATTTCCAGGGATTGTAGTCCTTTGAAAAGGATAATTTTCAGTGAAAGATTCAGCTTTCTATCTATAATAGAAAAAAAGTTATGACTTTTCAAAATTTTCCAAAAAAATCATAAGGGTGGTACCTTCCTACTAAAACGATGAAATTTCAAATTTTTTTTTGTCGAGATTTTGTGTCCTTATGGTCCCTCGTGATACCCTGAACTCCATAAACTAAATTATTCTCAGATTTGAAGCCAAAATCTATGGAAAAAGGCACTCAGAAAAATTGAAAAATTGATAAATCACCACAAATGCTTAGCACGATTTTATCTCAGGAACTATAAGTGTCAATGAGCTGAAATTTTCAGGGATTGTAGTCCTTTGAAAAGGATAATTTTCAGTGAAAGATTCAGCTTTCTATCTATAATAGAAAA